CCCTCAAATATTGGAAGACTGCTATCATGTCTCCCCTGTAACCATTCTTCATATGTTTTAGTCTCCAGTCCTCTAATCATCCTGGTTGCTCTTCTCTGCACTTTTCCTAGTCTCAACATCTTTTTTATAGTGTGGTGACCAAAACTGGATGCAGTACTCTAGGTGTGGTCTTATTAAAGATTTATAGAGTGGTATTAGTACCTCACTTGATCCTTCTTAGAGATTAATTCTGCTGCTGGAAATAAGCCCAGGCTACACATAAGATTGTGTTCCCATTCAGTTTGGACCACAATAGTGGCATGCTTTTACCCTCTTCCTTACTTCAATTAATGCTCCCTTTAACATTGTACAGGTAGTCCTCAACTTACAACAGTTCATTTAGTGACTGTTCAAAGTCACAAAGGCATTGAAAAAAGTGACATATGGCCGTTTTTCACAGTTACGACATTTGCAACATCCCCAGGGTCACATGATCAGAATTCAGACGCTTGTCAACTGGTTCATACTTATGACCGTTGCAGCATCCCAGAGTCAACTTTTGCAACCTTTTGACAAAGTCAATGGGGAAGCCAGATTCACTTCACAACCAGGTCACTAACTTATACTAACTTATAGCAGGGATCCACTGAATAACTGTGGGAAGAAATGTCATAAAAGGGGCAACACTAACTTAACACATTCTCACTTAACAACAGAAATGTTAGGCTCAATTGTGGTGGTATACTGAGGAAGCTGCATCTTTGATTTTGGTCCAGTCTTTCCTTGGTTCACTCTGTAAATGTGTATCCGCTTGTGTCTTCTTTGATGTGATTTGTCCAGATAGACTATATAGCTTTAGCTGTGAGGTCTGGCTCTGACCTCGATGCTGGCATATGCCTGTTCTTAAGGCTCTGCGTAAGGCTCTGCTCCAAATATTGGTGAGCTTTTCTGTATTCAACAACGTAATGATAGGACGAGTTGTGGATGAAGACAATCAATCATCCAAGCAAAGGCTGAATCATTGCAATTGAACTAATCTTTTCGCTCCTCTAAGACAAGCAGCTTCATCAGTCCAGTTAGGCAAAGAGTCTTTGGAATGCACATAGAGCTAATTGTTGCAAAGTATACTGACACACTCTATATCAAGAATGGGAGTGCACAGAAGGGTAGGTTCTAAGCATTTACGCCATCAGTATCTATGTCACTATGCTTCGTCTATGGAGCTCTTAAACTCACCATTAACCCAGCGAGAAGCGAGCTCCTATCTAAGACTGTGCTGACCTACAGGCTGCATTTAGATGTCACATTTACTCTGGGCTTAAACTGATGAGAATCAGCTTGAGCAGAGAGTGGGTATAGACCCACCCACGCTTTTCTGTTTAATGCGGCTACAGTGCAAGGAGAAAACTAGAAGCTTTTATTTCCAGGTTTAACTACAAGAATCAATTCATTGTGGTTATGATCATTTGTGTTGGCAGTGGTCTTCTTTCAAACCACGATTAAGATTAATCCAGTTACGAGTGTTGTAATTCAAAAAATAATAATAAGATAATCAAGGAGAGCGGGCTTGCAGGAAAGGAAATGCCAGGTTTGCATAGATTCATTTCTATAAAGTGAACATAACTGAAGATGGCTAATGCCTTCAGAGACCTTTAACGATGGAGAACCTCTTTATATACATATATCTGGCTGAGACGCAGCTGAAATACAACACCAGGAAGAGAATTCGCTGCAGTGGATTTGGGCTCTCCTTATTTGTTATTCCTAAACCTTTTCATAAGAACATGGAAAAAATGCAAGGAAATACAGCTGAAAAACCTCATCTGGTAGCACTTTATCATAAATGGACATGAATTAATACTAAATTACAATGAATTTTCTATGAAATTACAGATTACATTCATGCCATATCAGGATTCATAATGAAAGGAGGGGCTTGGCTTATGCCCACTGACACTCCAATACATTCTCAAGGAATTATTGTAGATTCAACCATCATGTAAAGTGATTGATTTAAACCTCTCAACTTTTTAAAGCAGGGGTGTTCAACCTTGGTCACTTTAAGACCTGTAGACTTCAACTCTTCAAATTCCCCATCCATCCATCCATCCATCCTGGCTGGGGAATTCTGGGAGTTGAAGTCCACAAGTCTGAAAGTTGCCAGGGATGGACATCTGTGTTTTAAAAAGTTAAAAGAAGAGTAGGTGGTAAATGTGTTTTGTGAGCAAAGAGAAAGGAATTCTTAGAATTGACACTTGGATATCTTGCTGAATAGTAAAATGGGCAAAACTTTCATCTTGGAAGTTCAAAATTTGTATGGGGGTTGCAGTGTAGGAAAGTGTATGAACCATTGGACAAGTTTTGACTAGCAAGGAAGAAAAGCCCTAGAGGGCAAAACCTTCTGCCCCACTTATTACAGCATCAGAAAAATGGAATCAGATTGTTTTAAAACACACAGATTATAAATAAAATTATTGGTGCCATAGTTCTCTGTTGAAAACATTGTCAGCATTCCCCTCCACCCCCTGGGAGGGAAAATTACATTCATGTCAGGAAAATGGAGTTACAGTATGTATTTCCTAAGTCAGACTCCCACAAATTGTAGCTCATAGGTTAGTAGAGACCTCCCTCCCTTTCATTTTTGCACATTGGAGACATTTTCCTGAGTACAATGCACAAAATGAAGCCAACAAACTGCCTCCGAGGGGATGTTTGAAGGAAGCGAGATGGAGCGAGAGGTTTCAGTCTGCCTAAGACAGTGCTTCACCTAAGCTGCTGAATTGGCAAATACTGAACGTTCATCACACACATTGCCTTTATTCCTTATTAAGACATTGGCCCTGGCTTCTCTCTCGCCTTTCCTTATCTCATGATACAACGATCTGCCAGAAGTCATGGTAGTGCCCAGCCTACTCTCAAGATGCCAAGCCTTCACAGTTGTAGAATGAAGGGCAAACCTCAATCATTTTGAGAGGGTTCCATGTCTAATCTACCAGAGGAAACCACACCCTTGATGTATGTTCCAACTGTAACAGAGACATGCTTAGAAAAATAGCAATAGCAATAGCACTTAGAATTATATTATATTACCCCACAGTGCTTTACAGCCCTCTCTATGTCAGCCTCTTGCCCCCAACAATCTGGGTCCTCATTTTACCAACCTCAGAAGGATGGAAGGCTGAGTCAACCTTGAGCTGGTCAGAATTGGACTCCTGGCAGTGGGCAGAGTTAGCTTGCAATGCTGCATTCAAACCACTGTGCCACAATGCCTTTTTTTTGCCTATTAGAAGCATCATTTCGCTGTCAGGCAATTGTCTATACCTTACTGGAAGAAAATACAGCAGCCATGTGGGTTTTTTTGGTGTGTGGCAGAAGCAATAAGGAATAGCTCCATGCACAGATTCCTTTATGGGTTATATTTAGAGCTGCACCTGTGGTTGGAGGTGATGTGAACAGGAAGATCGTTTGTCTTCACTCAACTGACTGAGCCTTTTACAGTGATAGTTCTAGGACTGTCCATCTGCATGAAAACATCTGTTTCTTGAACCTGTGGCTTTTTAAAAGGAGAAAACTGCATTAGACACACACAAAAGCCAGTGTTTAGAGCTGCCAGGTGGAAATTGCTCAAAAAGAAGGGTTCAGGGTCAACAATTCCCAACACTGATGGATACTACTGTCATTTTTTAAAATGCCTGCAGACAGATGGAAAGCATCATCTGATTCTCCCCTGGGTTCCTGTTAAGCTCTTACACTACCTGACTTGCTTTACTCTTTTTTAAATGAGGAACTAGCATGATGCAAAGTGAAGCCACCAGCAACATTTGTATTTCTAAGGAAGCCAGTGGGGCCTTTAGCATTCTTAGCACACGATGGACAGCTGCTATTCAGGGTCTTGTTTGGAAGGATGGCTTACTTCCAAAGATAAACATAAATGGGATAATTGTATACCATCTCTCTTAGGATGGGGGTGGCAGGTGGCATTCTGGTGAATCAGTGTTTCACGAAAGGTTATGCCTCTACTGTGTCAGAGATCTATGGGGAGCTTGTCCACCAGTAGCTGTTCTCAAGAAGGTTCCTTCCTTAATTTCATAATCCCAAATCGCTCACCGCTTGCAAAATGTTGAGGGACCTCATGTCTACTTTTCATGCTCTGTTGTAGGCAATGAACTCACTGTACTGGGATGATGCCCACATGGAGATTTAAATCAACCGCTGTTTGTGGGCTTAACCTTTGATTAGCAGCAATTGCTAATGGCAAACGTTATTACAAAATCCTGTTCCTTAAATGTCTGTAATACGTCTGGTTGAATGTTGATTTCGTAGGCTTTTTTGATATGAGAGTTTGTGGGCTGGAGAGGGGAGGAGGGGAGTTCCTGGGAAATGAGATTGTGAAAATATGATTTCCTGCACCCCATTGGATAGCTGTTCTGCTTATTTCTGTTTTGAAAATATAGGAATTCTCTCTGCCACTGATCGCTTCCTGCTTTGCAAATGTTGGAAACCTGAACCTGCTTGTACTCAACCAATGTATAAAGCCACCATTATGACTTCTGTATTGGTGAACCTCTAAACATTCCTTCTGGTTAGCTAATATCACATGCTATACCAAGGCATCAGCTTGGGATATTAAAATGTCACAACGTTCCACTCAGAAAGCAAACGCGATTCTTTCCAAAAGGGATTCCAATTACAGGGTGTTATTTGTCACATTGATTGCAAAGCACAGGCCTATGGCTTGGGGCTTCACCTGAGTCCGTATGGATTCCATAACTGCAAAACTCACAAGACATCCACTTGCAAAGGGCGTTCAACTCTCATTTACTCCTTGGTTGAATTTCTGCCCATTTGTAAATGTTTGATTTTTTTCCCCCACCTACATTTCTACAAATCATTCCCTTCTAGTTTTTCTTTTTCTTTCATAAAAACCACTGATCTTTTTCTTCTTCTTCTTCTTCTTCTTCTTCTTCTTCTTCTTCTTCTTCTTCTT